GCTCTACCGACTGAGCTAGCCGGGATAGATGTCACTTGATCTGACTATTGCAACTATATTCCTTCTGACCAGGAAGAAGTACAGGAGACGATCACGACTTGGACGTGCCAGGAGGGATTTTGCAAAATTCACGTTGGTCTGTCCACCCGGCGCTTTGTGTCCCTCGCGACTGCGCATCTGCTGTGTCTCTCTTGGCAGCGGATCGGCTGATGCGAGTCGGTCTGCGAGAGCGGCTTCGTCTGCGATTTCACGTCGTGCGGATTCGACTTGATCGCTAGCGGGAAGATCACCTCGTCGCAGCCGCCCCTTGCTTCCGCATCCTCACCATCGTCATATCTGCTCCGCGACACTTCTCGCTGTTCGGATCGTATCCCTCATCCTACGTGCGACGTTCACGCTGGCATCTGCAACACCGTTTCTTCCCACGTCGCTACACCTACAGCCGACACGCACACCGGTGGTCTGGATCCGACGCCTTCTACCTCGCCAGCTTCGGTACTGCGGCTGCTGGTCAGACTGCGCTTCACCCCTTTGCGGCACAGCCTTCCTCTCTGAATCTATCTGCTGTTGGCGCACGGCATCAACCTTGCGGTAACGGAGACAGACGATTCTCGACAGCCGATCCCGGAATAGAGAGGCTGCGACTCGCAAGGTCACGCGTTCCTTTGGTGTCGCAACGACTCAGCATTCGCTGAAGAATCAGTAGCCCAGTATGTCTGGCGGACGCAGCTGCGCACGTGTCTACCCAGGCGCCAACGAAAAGTTTGGCCGCCCGTGGTGGGACTACGACAACTTGGCGGTGCAGTGGGGCACGCAGGACAACTACGAGATCCTTCGCAAGGTCGGTCGCGGCAAATACTCGGAAGTCTTTGAAGGCGTCAACATCGCCTCGGCATCGGGCGTGCCCGAAAAGTGCATCATCAAGGTGCTGAAACCGGTCAAGAAGAAGAAGATCAAGCGTGAGATCAAGATCCTGCAAAACCTCGCCGGCGGCCCTAACGTGGTTGGTCTTCTGGACGTGGTGCGCGATCCGCAGAGCAAGACGCCGTCGATCATCACCGAGTACATCAACAACACGGACTTCAAGATCCTGTACCCCAAGTTCTCCGACTTTGACGTTAGGTTCTACATCTTTGAGCTGCTCAAGGCGCTCGACTTTTGCCACTCGCGGGGCATCATGCACCGCGATGTGAAGCCGCACAACGTGATGATCGACCACGAGAAGCGTAAGCTGCGCCTCATCGACTGGGGTCTCGCCGAATTCTACCACCCGTACACCGAGTACAACGTGCGCGTGGCCAGTCGATACTTCAAGGGACCCGAGCTGCTGGTCGACTTCCAGGAGTACGACTACTCGCTCGACATGTGGAGCCTGGGATGCATGTTTGCAAGCATGATCTTCAGGAAGGAGCCGTTCTTCCACGGCCACGACAACTACGACCAGCTGGTCAAGATTTGCAAGGTGCTTGGTACCGACGAGCTGTACGCGTACCTGGAGAAGTACGACATCGATCTCGACCCGCAGTACGACGACATCCTGGGAAGGTACCAGCGAAAGCCGTGGAGCAGGTTCATCACGTCCGAGAACCAGAGGTACATCTCGAACGACGCCATCGACTTCCTCGACAAGCTGCTGCGTTACGACCACCAGGAGAGGCTCACGGCCAAGGAGGCGCAGGACCACCCGTACTTTGAGCCCG